GGCTGTGCAAGGTGTCACACCACAGGCACCAGATTCCCCAAAGCCTGCCCGTGCACCAGAGATGGATCCCGATCCCCCTGCCTGGGTGCCCCCCAAATAGTTTGAGCCAAACAACCGTCTTCCATATCCAGAGGGCTCCAGATAGAGGGGGACTGAGGTATGCTCACACAGGCAGGCTGCCTGACTTCCAGCTCTGAAATGAAGCACTGACCCTCTTAGAATCTTGAATGTAAAATTCAGATAATAATGTTTAGTCCAGTCCCATGGGGGCTCCACAGCCAACAGTCCACAGTTCATGGGCTTCCATTAGTGTGGTCCATCATCTCTGCACATCCTCCCATCATGATCTCGACATCACCCACCTGCAGAATCCCTCCTCTCTCTCATTGATTGGATTCCCAGAGCTCAGCCTGGTGCCTGGCCGTGGATCTCTGCATCTGCCTCGATCAGTCACTAGACAAAGACTCTATGATGACAGTTAGGGTATTCGCTAGACTAGTCACCAGAGTAGACCAGTCCAGGTACTCTCTGGACCACTGCCAGCAGTCCAAGGTGGTGTCATCCTTATGGGTTCCTGAAAACCTCCCCAGCACCCTGCCTCTTCGTTTTCCCCTGATGTCCTCATCTATCATGCTTTCTCCCTCCCTGCCCTCCCACTCTGTTCCTGTTCTACCTTGACCCTCCCATTTCCCTATGTTCTCATTCCCCAATTCCTCGCCCTCTGCCACCACCCCCTACATACACACCCAGTCCGCTCATGTAGATCTCATCCACTTCTCCTTCGATGGGTCATCCATGTGTCCCTCCTAGGGTCTTTCCCTGTTAGCTAGCCTCTCTGGAGCTGTGGGTTGCAGCCTGGGCACCCCTTCCTTCACATCTAGTATCCACTTATGAGTGAGTACACACTATGTTTGTCCTTCTGAGTCTGGGTTACCTCACTCAGGATATTTTCTAGTTCAATCCATTTGACTGCAAATTTCTTGATACTGTTTTTCTCTGCTGAGTAGTATTCCATCGTGTATATGTGCCACATTTTCTTTATCCATTCTTCAGTTGAGGGGCATATAGGTTGTTTCCAGGTTCTTGCTATTATGAATAGTAATATTTTCCAATGTCCACATTTAAAGAAAGGTAACCTTTTATTTTATACATATGGGGTAAGCTAATAATGCTATACTAGTTGTTAAATTTTAATGAAATACTTATAGCTAATGCAACAGTTAAAAATTTACAAATATCACAAATAAAAACATGAAACTTAACTTTATGTTTTACAGAAACACCTCAGAAGATAGAATCCAGTTACCTGTAAAGACAAAGCCAGCTGCTGAGAGCACACGGGGCGATGTCCCATGGGCATAAAACGGCCAGTTCTCAAAGGACTCCAGTCTGGCCTCCTCTTCTTGGTACCTTGCTTTGCCACCTCTCAGCTTCTCGGGACTCTTCACGCTGATGTCATACTTGCCGATGTTACCGACGTCTTTGCCCAAAAGGAACTCGCATCCTGGGCGCAATCTCCTGTGGCTTTCTACGGGAGTTTTCCTTAGGCTGGTACCAAAGAGGATTAAGCTGCAGCAGAAGCACTGAACCCCAAGTTTCACCCCGGTAAAGTAAAACCCAGCGGCTGCCATGTCCTGTGGCGGCCATGATCTGAATGTGTCATAGGTCACGAAAGTCTTTAATCGCTTGGCCTCACTGCGCATGTGCGAGTTAAAACCTTTCTTCATTTTCACTCGTTCCTGATGGTATTCTTCTTCTAGACTCTTTGCGAACTGGACTGCATCCACACCGAGAAGAGCAGAGAGCTCAGGGAGAAACTCATAATCAATCTCGGAAATCCGCTCCTCGGAGGCCTCCCCGTGAGTGGCCATTTTCTGAGAGGACAAGGAAAGCAGGTGATTGGTCTTCTGGTTAGTTTTATTTTGTTGTGATGAGCACCCTGACCAAAAGCAACATAGGAGGAAAGGGTTTATTGCTGCTTACAGTGGTGGTTCTGTAGTTGAACGTCCTTGTTGGACCGCCAGCTCCCCAATAATGACACAGAGACTTATTATTAATTATGAAAGCTTCGCCTTTCGCTTAGGCTTGTTCCCAACTAGCTCTTAGGACTTCAATTATCCTGTTTCTATTAATCTGCATTCTGCCACGAGGCTATTTATCTCTCTTCCATCCTGTATGCCCGACTCTCTGTCTCACTATCATTTCTAGAGTGCCTAGATTCATCCAAGTTCCTCTCTTTCCCCAGGAGACCCACCTATTCTCTCCTGCCTAGCTACTGGACACTCAGCTCTTTATGAAACCAATCACATTGATATCTTCATACTGTGTAAACAACTATCCCACAACATGGTTCACCATCAAGGGAAATCAGGGCAGGAACTAAACGCAGGAAACTGGAGGTAAACACTGAAGCAGAGACTGTGGAAGAATGTTGCTTACTGGCTTAACTTCCCATAGTTTTCTTAGCTTAATTTCTTTTCTCTACCTTTTTTATTATTTTATTTATTTATTTATTTATTTATTTATTTATTTATTTATTTATTTATTTATTTATTTATTTATTAGTTCATTTTTCAAGACAGGGTTTTTCTGTGTAGCCCTGGATGCACTGGAACTTGCATTTTAGACCAGGCCAGGCTGGCCTTGAACCAGAGATCTGCCTGCCTCTGCTGGGACTGGTTTATTTTCTTATACAACACAGGACCACATGCCCTGAGGGCACCACTGCCCGCAGTGGGCTGGACCCTCCCACATCGATTAACACCAAGGAAATACCCCACAGACTGCCCACCGCCCAGTTCTGATGACAGCGATTCCTGTTTCTGCCTTTGAAGTTCTGGAGAGCAGGCATGTGCCTTCCTAACTAAAACGGGTCTTTCAATGAAGCATGCTCTTTCATCTGACACCAGCAGAGGTTTCCCTTGGAGCAGTTACACATCTGACAACACCTAGTGCACCATAAAGAGTTCTTCTCACTACTGTGTAAAATCCACCCCAGCAACGGTCCCTCTGGAGTTCTCTCAATCCTTGGGCTACTCAACTCTTATTTTTTAGTAATTTTTTCTTATTTTTTTCTAGGTATTTTTACAGTTGTCTCTGGATAGTCCCCCACTACGGTCTCCTTAGAGATCATGAGACAAAGGTCATGTTCTTATCTATGGACACAATCGCCCCACTCTAGCATCCTGTTCCCTCCCTGTACAGAAGAAGGAATTGGCCATGACTTGGCAGCCTAAGGCTTTGCTTAGTTGCTTTCATTTTCACTAGAACAGCCTGTAGTGACTTTTCCTGTGCTGGGATGAAATACTCTGACAAAGCAGATCACAGAAAACAAGGTTTATTCTGACTTACAGTTTGAAGATATATTTCCACCGGGGCACAGGAGACCTGGTGTCAGGAGCAGGAAGTCAGCCGGTCACAGTGCATCAGCAGCAAGGACCCAGAGAAAATGACAGGAAGTGGCACAAGGCTATAAAGTCTCAAGCCTGTCCCCAGTGACCCACTTCCTCTACCAGGCTCCACCTCTTAAAGATTCCAACATCTTACCAATGGCACCCCAGCTGGAAACCAAATGCTCAGACACATGAGCTGCTTGTAGGAGACTTTTCACATTGAGAGCACAGCATAAGCCAGGGTACAGTGTCCTCTACTAACATGTGCATGTGAGCACCTCCCTCCCACATTCTCCTCCACTAACATCTGTATGTGAATACCTCCCTCCCACACTCTCCTCTACTAACATCTGCATGTGAGCACCTCCCTCCCACACTCTCCTCCACTAACATCTGTATGTGAATACCTGCCTCCCACACTTTCCTCCACTAACATCTGTATATGAATACCCGCCTCCCACACTCTCCCCCTTGTCATCTTCTTTCTTTCCTGAAAAATGCTTATAAATCTCTCTCTGTCTCTCTGTCTCTCTCTGTCTCTCTCTGTCTCTCTCTCTCTCTCTCTCTCTCTCTCGTGTGTGTGTAAGTGTGTGTGTGTGTGTGTGTGTGTGTGTGTGTGTGTGTGTGTATACACATGTCTTAGCT